AACATAAATAGTAGGTTTTATTGTTTTTCGATATTATTATAATCAAGAGGTATAATAATATTAAGGTATAATATTATAGTAAAGTTAACATATTAGGTATATAACATATAATATTATATAACATAATATTTTATTAACAATTTCAATAGAGTTATAATTAACGGAATGTTGTATAACTTTTCTGTTCTAATGTAGTAAGCAAAACATTTTCAGGATGTTTTGTCAAATGTCATCTTTTGACATTTTCTCGTGTTCCTGTTACGGAAAACTAATCGTCATTGCGTCATCAGATTTAAGTTTTTCGCCAAAAATTTTTGTTTGAATGATTAATTTTCTCTAAAATTATCGTTAAAAATCATGGGTTTTCTAGCAGCTGTCTTTTTTGTTAGTGTCCAATTTTTTTTGTTAATTATACAGAATACGAGACGAATTTTTGCTAATTGAAATTAGGTATTGTGTTGGAATCAAAACTGTTTATCATTATCGTATGTCTTCTATGTGATCTAATAGTCTAAGAGCTGGCTACATAAAAAACCTTATCATCGTTACATGGCTAATTTTTTGTGTGAAGTATCGTGTTGTGTAGCCATTATGAAATAGTCATGTCTGCTAGCGCGATCACGGGGCTTAAAGCGGGAGCGGCCAATCGAAAGGGTAAAATTTTGACACTAAAAATATTATAAGATACATGAGTTATAATTGCGAAAATAGCTTTTATTTATTATGAAGAAACGTGGAAAATTGTTGGCAGACATTTTTCCAGTCGCTAAAATGCCGACAACGCGAAAGAGGCATGAAATTTTAAAAATTATTAAAAAATGAAATTTGAAGAATGAAAAAAATTATGGCATATTGGCATGCCGAGTGGTGAAATGTCATATTTATTTATTTTAAAAGCCGTATGCAAAAGGGCAGACAAAAAGATCGTGGCTCAATCAGCTGCAGAGAGTTATCAAAAGCGCGATATTACTATATAGCGCTTTCAGGGAACGCTCGCCGCCTCATCCATTTAAGTATAGATAAATCATATAATATACGATTATATTATAAATATATTTTTTTATTATTTCAATATTGATTTTTTTGTCTGCCCTTTTGCATACGGCTTTTTAAATTAATTAACAATAAACATGACATTCCACCAACCGATTTGGCTATTCCTTGAAGATTCTACAAGAATATTTAGTTTTAATTATTGTCTAATATTATTAATTACAATATAGTAAAAAAAATATCAAAGAGTGACTAACTAGCGGTCTACCATATATCGGCTTATAATCCACGGTATTGCGCCTCATGAACAAAATATACACAAAATTACTTAAAAAATTGTCTAATTATTTATTATTTCTGGTTATGGTAAAGTAATATTTATACTGTAAACTGTAGCAAAGTTTAGTTTACGAATTTAGTTTTTTTTTTACTTTTAATTGTCTAAATCCCCCCTGTATAATAAATACTAGTTGAATGGATTTATAGTATCGCTTACAGATTTATATTAAGAACAATAAAAGAACATTGCTTTTAAATAATAATGTCCGTGAACCATTTTTGTTGACATTAATTTTCATTGATAATTTTACCAAGTGGATATATTAATAATTATGATTATTGTTAGTTCCCAGTAATAATTAGTATGCAGAAAGAAAAAAATCGTAGGTGTTTTTGCAACATTTCGCGACTTTATTGTCGCTTCTTTAGGCTCCAAAACATATATTAATCCATATTATGCCTACAAACATTCATGGCGATTCCAACCGCCAACACTAAGCCACATACGGAAGAAAGAACAGAATTATAGAACAACAGTTAATATGGATTAATATATGTTTTGGTGCCTGAAGAAGCGATAATAAAGTCACGAAACGTCGTAAAAACATTGTTTCCTTTCGAGTCTTCCCAAACACCCACGATGTTTTTCTTTTTGCGTATATTGATAATGTTACCAGTATTACTCATCAAGCAATACTACTCTTATATTAATCAATTAAGGCCGTAAACAAACATATCATATACAATTTTATATACTAATTCGTTATAATAAAATTAAATCATAAAAATATTGTAATTGTATTCCTGTAGTTTAAGCGAAAAGTTTTGTTCCTAAATATCTTCTATACATAAAATAAACGCGTATTCGAATATTAATTCTGTGGAATATATATCATTATAACATAAAACGAGATGTAGTTAACGAATTATCATCGTAACAACAACTATTTTAGGAACGTCTAGGTTTACTTATTACACTGAGATTTATGAAAAAAATCCTTTGCCTCGAGTACAGATACCGACACGTTTTGGAAATAGCTCAAAACAAAACAAAATTGAACGGGGCGACAAAGAACGCCAAAAAAGTCTCCCCTCGCCCTCTTTACTATTATCTTTTAGGCGCTTTTAAGAATTTAAAGTAGGTCGAGGCAAACCGAAGTGGGTCAAGACAATTGGAAATAAATCGAAATGCGTTCAAAGTTGGGCGACGAAATGCGACCTTGACATGTTTCGAATTGTTTTTGGTATAGTGTGTACGCTGTTTTATGCTATATGTTTTCCGTTCGATTTTGATGATTTTTTAAGTAATTTGCAGCTAAGTTATTTGACTTTTATTTTATTTGCTTAATTTATGTTTAAATTGTTTGACTTTTTATTTTATTTGCTAAGTAATTTGTGGCTAAATTATTTGACTTTTTATTAATAACTAATTTGTGGCTTAATTATTTGACTTTTTATTTTATTTGCTAAATAATTTGTGGCTAAATTATTTGACTTTTTATTTTATTTGCTAAGTAATTTGTGGCTAGTAATACATAAAACCATAAGTATAATATGTAAATAATTATAAAATATGTTTTGTCTAGATATATACCAGAATAATATTTTTATACATATATCTACAGTTTTAAATAAACTGGAACGCACCATCTGTCGATTATTCGTACCCATCGTAAAATTCTTTGCAATTAATAAATAAATCGAACTTTCCTAATCGGCGATAATGCGTTGTAGAACTACTTAGAAAACTCAGTAGCGGTGGCCAGCTGAAGCTAATAAATTTTCTCGATCGTCGTAAAGTAAGCGGACTTCTGGCAGGATAGTGTAAATTATTGCTTCATAAATCTGAATGAAGCGCTAAAAATATCGGCTATATTGACAACTTGCGAATACCTCATTGTTTTTGGCACTTTTTCCCGATTTTTCTTTGCTCGGAAATGATATTATTCAAATCGATCTAATGAATAACCTGTTAAAATAGTTGGCAATGTACCATGGATGTGTGTCTCGTACTAAATAGGCTAATTTCCTGTGGATTATACACTATACCGTTTATTATTTAAATTATAATTTATATTTTCAATAAATTTCATTTTTGTTTATTTATTTATTTATTTATTTCTTCTACAACACTCTACAGCTTACGCCAATTACAGAGTGGGTTACACACAAAAAAAAATCAATACAAAATAATTAAATTAAACAAAAAATAACATCAATGAGAAAAAATACATATCAATGAAAAAAAACAACAACAATATAAACCAAGAAAAACCACTAAACTGAACTCACAACCGAAGCCAAACTGCAGCTGAAAATATCAAAATTACACTGATATAAATTATATGCATCCTGCATACGTTTCAATGGCGAATATTTACTTACATTTGTGCGCGAGGAGGCCACATAAAATGTAAAGCTATACCGAGAGCTACGTGGGACCAGAAAATTGATTTGACTGAGAACATCCGGACTATCAATTTCATTATGTAATAACTTGTATAAAAATTTCAGCTCTGAATTTGTCCGTCGAACCTCCAAGGAATCTAGAGAATGTTTCTGCAATAAAGAGCTGTGACAGCAGCCAATTTGCGGGTAAACCCCATCAGTTCTTAAACTCAGATATTTCAGAAAACGACGCTGTACCTGCTCGAGAGCATTAATATGTGCCGCATAAAACGGCGACCATACAATTGATGCATACTCTAGCTTTGATCTTACAAAAGCATAATAGAGTAGTTTTAATGTGTTACTATTGCTAAAATCTCTAGTATTACGCACAATAAATCCCAAGGCCTTAAACGAAGATTGAACGACTTCAGATATATGCTGAACGAAAGATAGTTTACTGTCAAATGTGACACCCAAATCTTTAAAAACAGATACTCTACCTATCATCGTATCACCGATAGAATAATTATAAATTTGTGTTTCCGATTTCAAGGTATAAGACATGACTTTACATTTTTCAACGTTCAATGGTAAGTTATTATATGAACACCATGCAACTAATCGATCAACACACCTCTGAAGCCGTTCACAATCATGAGGCGAATCAATGCGGGAAAATATCTTCATGTCGTCTGCATACAGTAAGACACTTAAATCAATTATATCAGTGACACCGTTTTAAAAATGTTAAACAATAACGGTTCCAGAATAGACCCTGGGGTACACACCCGAAGTAGCACACAGTTCGACCGAATTCTGGCCACAATACTCCACCCTCAACAATCTGTTTTTAAATGGGACTCATAGAAACAACATTAATAAGTTAACTGAAAACCCAATCCGATCCAGATGGTAAAGAAGGATCCCATGGTCAAGTCGGTCAAACGCTTTAGAAAAATCAGTATACACAACGTCGACCTGACTCTTTGTATCAATAGAGTCAGCAATAAATTGTGTAATACTTAAACGATTAGTTAGACCCCTTATAAAACCATGCTGATTTGGTGAAATTCTACCTCCCACCTGGAACGCCAATGCGCCATAGTAAACATAGGAACGCCAATGCGCCATTTCTAAACATTTGGAAAAATTAGAAATTATTGTTACAGGTCTATAATTTTCAATATTATTTCTATCGTTCTTTTTAAATACTGGGATGATCTTTGAGGTTTTCCAGATAACAGGAAACGTATTTGTCTGTTTGGCACAGATTAAATAATTTCGTTAGTGGGGAGGAAAAAACTATTGCGCAATCTTTCAACAGAAATGAGGGTACTTTATCGGGTCCTACCACTCCGGTGGGCTTCATTTTTTTTTAAGCACTGCAAGATATCTCTCTCCGATACCCGATTCAGTGTTATATCACCAAAGGAAGAATTAATTTCAGTGCTACCTTCACGAATATGACCGTTACCTGATACAATATAGGACGATCGAAAAAAGTCTGCAAATGCATCTGCTATTGATTTTGTATCATTGAGTTCGACATCATTAAACTTCATTTGTTCAGGAAACGACCGAGACTTACTTTTATTATTTATAAATTGCCAAAACTGCTTGGGGTTAGTAGTTAGACCACCCTCAACGTCTCTACAATATATACTATAGTTTTTACTAATATTTTGCTTAATTTGCGCTCTAAGCTCCTTAAATTTTACCAAGTGAAAATTCTGTTTTGATTGTTTATACGTCTTCCATGTATTATTTTTAAGTTTAATAAGCTTAATTATATCTGAACCATACCACGGAGGATAATTTCTTTTACGTTTGGACGTTTTAGGTACAAACAAATCCAACCCATTATAGATCACCCCATAAAATCGCTCGCAAGCAGCATCCACGTCAGAGATTTCATCCAAGAAATCCCAATTACACTCAGCAAAATAGCCATAAAGATCAGGAAAATTGGCTCTTCGAAAATTATAATATGTGTTATCAAATTTCTGAGCATTGGGCTTTCTGGACTGACCGGCTTCCAAAGAAACGATAAGAGCCGGATGGTGGTCGTCCTCAGTCAACAAAATGTCTTGGGCTTTGTTTATCCAACTTAGCTATTTTAATTAATGGATGATTTCAATATATTAAATCAAGAAAAGATACTGTTATCTATACTAATATATAAAATCCTTAAGTGACTGACCTACTGATTAATCCCGATCCTGCTCAAACCACTCAACGTAAGAAGCTCAATTTTGGCATACAGGTTGATTCTAGGGTGTAGAGGTTCGATAAGAAGGGATTTTTCGAAATTCCAGTTCCAAGAGGGTGAAACCACCCCTCAAATATTACAATATTTTTTATTTAAAAAACGGTAAAGTTTCCGAAAAAAACGCTTAAACACGTATATTTTATTTTGTTTTTTACATATTTTAAGATTTTTTAAAAATGTATACAGGGTGTTTCGAAAAATTTGGTCATTGATTACGATCCTGCTTAAAGCGGTTGACGTAAAAAGCTGATTTTTGGAAAACAGATTGACTTTACGGTGTAGAGGTTCGATAAGAAGGGATTTTTCGAAACTCTAATTCTAAGGGGGTGAAACTAATCCCTCAAATATTAAAATATTTTTTATTTAAAAACCTGTGAGTTTTTCGGAAAAACTCTTAAACACGTATATTTTATTTTGTTGCTTTACATATTTTAAGATTTTTTATAAATTTATACAGGGTGTTTCATAAAATATGACCATTGAGTAATCACGATTCTGCTTAAACCGCTTGACGTTTAAAGCTGATTTTTGGCAAACGGATTGACTGTGGGGTGTAGAGGTTCGATGAGGAGGAAACTTATAAAATAATTATAAGTTTCTCGAATCTCAAATTCCAAGAGGGTGAAAACGCCCCTCAAATATTACAATATTTGTTATTTAAAAAACGCTTAGTCTTTCGGGAAAACGCTTGGACAAGCATAATTTATTTGGTTTTTTTACATATTTTGAATTTTTTTAAAAAATCATACAGGGTGTTCCAAAAAGTTGGGTAATTTCTTAACTACGATTCTGCTTGAACTGTTTGACGTAAAAAGCTTATTTTTGGCAAACGGATTTTTCGAAAGTCACATTCCAACGAGATGAAACTACCCCTCATATATTACCAAGTTATATAATAATATCGCCATATTGTTTTTCTCATGCTGAAATAAATGTGAGAAAATTTTATCCAGTTTGTATGTTAATGGAAATTCTTGCTTTGCTTTATCACCACTATTACAAATTATTAATTCGACGCGAACGAAGTCGCTGGTACACGCTAGTCTTTAAATATATGTATGTATATTGTGGTCCTATAGGCTTGATGCATTTCAGTTGATACTCTAAATTCCGCCGCAGCGCTCGATACGGTAGAAATTAGAAGTTTTCGCTCTGTATTTCACGCAGTTCCGATGTTGATCGTATTAAAGTAATATTAAAATCGTGGCTTTGTTATAATATTTCAGTATTTTAGTTTAATAGTGCAGTTATTGAAATAACAAAACACTCAGGTATATACGATGGTTGTGCGATGTAACGCTGTTTCGGGTAGTAAAAATTAAGTAAAAAAGAATCCGAACAGGGCGTCGCCGTCGGCGTCGCTTTGTGTTGTGACAATTTCAAATGTTAATAAAACTGTCAAAAAAATATTAACACGCAAAGGACGGCATAATTACGTGGTTGTTGGGTGCAATAACATGCAATAACTCAACTTTCCCGAATACTCAACTCTCCCGAAACATGAATTTATAGCTCTACAACTTCTCACACCGATTTGATCAAAAGCAAAAATGGACTCAAGTAGCTTGACGAAACAAATGCGTAAGCAGTGTGCCCTTTACGTGATCAAAAAAATTAAATATGCATATATACTATGAGAGGATAAATAATTATAATTTCCAATATTAATAGTATACTTGTTTTAATCAACTAGTACTTAAATTTGTTATGAGCATCTTCTAAAATTATAATTATGTATCTTTGAAAAAATCTTGTTATAATCGAAATAGCCCCAATTATGTCTCCGCTAGCAAAACCGGTGCTAAATAGTAATACTATGGTAGCAACCGTAGTTGAACTCATCTAAAAAGTTTTATTAGCTTCAATAATAAATTATTATAATAGAAGTTAGACTTTTATTTACTTTTTGCCGCATCACCAGGAAACAAAAGATATTAAAGTACAGGTTTATAATTTATATATGAAAATCACAGGACAGCCTCTAGTTGACTACCGTCCATGGTCTAGATCCGTGAAGTTATTTTTAAATCATTATTTAATTAATTATTAATTCATATACTTATTCCTGATTTGTCAGAGAGTTCGATGATTTGTGTTTATAGTTTATGTTTTTATTAGTGTACATTTTGATATTTACAGTCGATCATCATTTTCCAACACTACCCTTATCCGTTACACAATATCAAGAGTGCCTGATGCAGGATTTTTTGATTTACTCTCTCAAAATAAGATATTAAAATCTAAGTTCACGATATTAAAATCTAATTAAGTAAATAAATTATTTTTTCTAAGATTTTCTTTGTCGGCAAGCTATACGCTGTATAGTATTTATGATTCATGTCTTCCATCTATCCTATTCCATTCAATCGGGTCAATCACTCAGTTACTAAAACTAGAGCCTTTTGCCTCGGCTTGCCTAGTGAATAAAACATTCTCCTATCGATCTTATTTCGACGTGTTCCTCCATCCCATATGAAATCCACGTTTCCCATGTTTTCAATCAGACAATGCCCACGAATTATCATATTCGCTTTTTGAGAAATTGGAGTTAAAAACGTATGCATCTCGTTTGGTTTGGTAATGGACAGATGTGGGTGTTTCTCTCAAATATCGCAAATTATATATTCCTCGATTATATCTTAAAATACGTGAGTATTATAATATTTTGTAAATTTTAGTATTTTTTACTTTCAGTCAATGACTACGTGTATATCGATAACTTGTAATCTGATTCAATCGATCAATTTTTGAAACCCATTTTGTTCAATTACATGTATATCGCCAGCGGAGCGGTGGATACAGGGGGGTGACCTATGGGGCTCTATCGGCTTCATAGCCTATGGGGCTAATCCGGCTTCCAATAAAAGCTGTAAATTGCGTTAAATATTAGACTTTTGGCCAAAAATGGCGTCCTAAAAATAAAATTCTATATTACTTTTGATTTGGGTCCTCCCGAAAATACACTGAAAAAAAAGGATCTCTCAGTCGAAATGAATATGACTTTGACGCAAAAGATTGGCGCTCTTGAATAGGGCCAAGAACGACGTTTCTTTGCCCAAAGCATTAACTATCTTTTCATAAGCTTTAAAAAATTACTTTAGAGAATAGATGAATCTATCTGTCCAAAGTATTTCACTCTTGACCCAAAATGAATATGCAAAGAAGTTCTTGCTACATGAACAATAGTCTCTTTGATTCATGCAAAAATGTTTGACTGAAAAGGGACATTTCTTGATTAAAGATACACTTTTCTTAAACCAATAGCGAATACTATTGACTCAACTAAAATTTATTTTGATCTAAGAGAAGTCTATACATCATATACAGGCATATTACGAGGTATATTATTTTCTGATAACTTTAGGTTTTCCTGGTCTGTAGTAAGTAAAGTGATATTATTTTCCTCGATAGTAGTTATTTCTGCTTCTTCACTAGTTGGTATTTTTTGGGATGGTTCATCACTCTACAAATTACAAAAAAATGTTACATCACGATTAATAAAAGTAAAGCAAATAAATTATTAAAATTATAAGCTTTGGTCACATTTTTAATTTTTTAATACGACGACTTGAAATTCTAAAGTTTTTGTAATTATTTGCATTTAAAAAATCGATACCTATATTCTTATACTATCTATAGTCATGTATGCATTATCTAAACAGGTGCATTAGGTAAATGTCTCTTACCTTCAAATATAGCAAATAAATGCTCTAATTTCCATTTTTTCAGAAACTCCTTTGAGAATTCATATATCCTAAAATTTGTCCATAAAAAATGGCAAATGTATATTAGTAACGATCACTAATTTGTTATACTATATGCGTTTAAAAAGCAAATAATGCAAAATTCCAAGTGGAAAATTCCAAGCAACAAAACCCGTGCGTACTATGATGTGCGACCTATGAAATGCGACGTACGACTGATCGGACTGCCGACTGATTGTATATACCGTCCTTCGTCATCGTCTTTGCGTGTTGCGTGTCGTTATTATTTTTCATCAAAAGAGTATTTAGCTATTGGAAAAATGGCCATGTTTCTTGAATGAAGTACTTCCTAGCGTATTTTTCTTAATATCTTAAAACAAAGTAACTTGCACTTGGTTGAATGAAAATAGATTCAAGAGAAATTTTCGAATTTTTCAAGAGAACCAGTTTTCTTGAATTAAGAGAGTTTTTCTTCAGGCAAAATATTTTCTTTTACGCTAAAATAAATTCTCTTGCCACTAAATTTTTTTTTCAAGAACGATGACGACTTTAGTTCAAGTCTATCTTTTTTATCAGTGTAGATTCTTGTATACGCCCCTGTGTATCGCTATTTTTCTAATCCATGTTAACATTTATTATTTCTATTCTTAAATATCAGAATAGGATGGAATACATTTGGGTGTTAATCGGCAACTATTAGGCAGAGTGTAATGGTGGTGGGGTTCTTGCGTACTACTACTATAATCTAAAATTTACCACCATATGATTACATACGTGACATGCAAACAATATAATAAATAAATATGAATTTTGTTAGTTTTAAATACGAAATAAAGGTTAATTTACATAATTTATATGGGGTGCGTCTCAAAAGTGGCTCACTCCTATAACTTTTTTATTTTTCAGAAAAAAGAAACCAGATGTTAGTATATTATACCATAAATTAGGATTGATTGACGTATTCAATTGTTTTTGCGCTCACTTCCTGTTTCACCGGAAATGACTAGAATTTTTGATTTTTGAATTGTACCCTCGGTATACTTCTACTTTATTCTATAGAAAACGACACTAGAATAAGATATCATATGTCAACTTTTGACATTTTCGCTTAAAAAATCGTATTTTAAATATTAAAATTATTAATCTAAACTGCCATGGCTGTGTTGAAAATCCCAATTTTTAATCAAGGAACTTTCCAAAAATTAGATTTGGTCGTCTAATATTTTTCGTGTCATGTTCTGGTCGGTTAAAAGATGCCCAAATCGTATTTTGAATCATATCTCAATTTTTTCAAATGGAACTAGGGTGGCTCGTTAGCATATTTGGAAGAAAGCATTTTTTACGAATAATTTGATACTACACACTTGGAATTTCGAGTCAAATTGTCGTTATGAACCTCATGTTACAATTTCAAATAAACCATATGCGAAAATGTCAAAAGTTCTCTTTCTATTCAGAGTATCATTTTCTATTGAATAAAGTAGAAATATACCGAGGGTGCCATTTAAAAATCAAAAGTTGTCATTTCCGGTGAAACAGGAAGTAACCAAGAACAATAAAACTGAATACGTCAATCAATCCTAATTTATGTTATACTTACCAACATACTAAGTCTCTTTTTTATCTGAAGAAATAAAAAAGTTATAGGGCTGAGCCACTTTTAAGATGCACCTCGTATACACATATATGTTTTTAATTATATTAATATTAACGGTTTATCTCGTGTGTTACATTCTTATGTTTATCTCGGCTCAAATATAAAGGACGACGGCAACTGTAAATAGAAACTAGACGCAGAATACACAAAGCAAAAACTCCCACAGCTCGTCTTTCAAAAATATGACAGAGCAAAGTAATAGCAACCCACACAAAAAAATAATTAGCTGTATACAATTGTCTCCTCAATAATTTTTTATTGAGTGGAATCCTGGACCACCAAATCATCGGAAATACGCGGAGAGCTAGAAGAACTAATCTCTCAAAATAAATGAACTTATACGCTATAAGTGTGTTTTGATTGCTTTGCTTTAACTTTTTTTCGTTTTTCTCTGTTGACATAAAAAAATTGCAGGTAATTTAGTGGAAATGACAACATTATATAGGCACAGAAAAAAAGTGCATTGCCCCGCGATATTAAACGAACAAACAATTTTTTCCTTCGGACTCTGTCATGTCAAATCATAGGTTAAAAATTCTCCGTAACGTTAAATAGTATTAAAATTAAATTAAAATATTTTGAACTTCAGGGCATAATCAGCATTTTTCTTATTTAAAATTACTTCTTTTTTTATTTAAATTTCTTTCTTTTTATTGTTTTTTATCTGAACCATGATTAGATTAAAATCACAACTTGACTTAACTGAAATTACTACATTTTCGACCAAATTGAAACATGTTTTAATTAATTAGAGTAGCTTTAAAACCTGGCGCGCCAAGCACAAAAGACGGGACAGTGGCAAACATCAGAAGACGCCTCTTTGCGGGGTGTTTTTAATTTTTTTAAGAGCCCGTCGTCCGCAAATCTAGCTTTAGGGGCATTCGGTTTAATCTTGGTCTGAGGATGACATGGCAAGACGACGAATAGGACTAATTGAGTTGTGTTTTTCACAAAGATGTCAAGGCTTAAAATTAATGAATTTAACATAAAACAAAAAACAAGTATTTATTTATTGTAAGTGAAAATATAAAATCTCTAATTTTGTGAACATTATTATTTGTACTGTGGTAGATTGTAAATTTAGCCGTCTCGGCGCACTCAGTGATGGAGTGTTCTGGTGTTTCCCCATTTTCCCGACACAATTTGCATTCGCCGTTGTTTCTTAGTTTCAATCTACTGAGGTGTTCCTTGATGAGACAGTCCCATATTAAAAACCCCGTGACAATCCGAAGATCGTTCTTACTTAAATCTAGTAAAATCTTTGATTCTTCTCGGTCTTAAGTACTGAAATATTTCTTCGAGTATCTTAAACCGTTGTAGGACTCCAATACAGGTTACAGTTAGAGTTTTCAAGATTTTTAGTTATGCCATAAGTTGATTTCCACTTGGGATACACAACCATTATCGTCCAGTTAGTGGATTGTTCTCTCCTTTTCTAGCTAAATTGATCGATTTTTCATTATCTTCTATCCCCATGGCACCCAGGGTAGGAGGACTTTATTTTCTTTGTCTAATTTGTTCAGCAGGCATTTTTTGACCAACTTCGAATTGATGTTTACTGATTTGGTCGCTCTTAAGGCTGCTTGACTATCGGATAAGATGGCTATTTCTTGTTTCTACCTAAGTTAAGTTGTATGCATATTTCTGCCTGAAAGATACTGGAGTAGGTGCCCATTGGTTCAGAGTATTTAGTTTTCGGCCCAAATACTCCTATCCTCTTTCTTTGTACTGTAATAAATATCTTTATGGTTACTGTCAAAGATCCCTGATTTTTTTAATGATTATAAAGTGCTGTATTAAAAGAAATAGGTTTTGTTGTTTTTAACCAACATGATCCATATTATAGTTAGTTAGCGCCGTGTTTACGATAAGATGTATCACCCTGGCAACTTGGAGAGTACAACACCGATATGAAACGTTGCGTGATAAGCTTTTAAGAGAAATTAAACAAACCCTATCCCTTCTTCAGCAGTTGGTACAGGGGGAGGTGTGTAGGTAAACAAGGCATAGGCGTTACATGAATAGATAATTTGAAGTTTATACTGGGTGTTTTTCAAAACTGACTCTTTGACATATAACTTTTTTATTTTTTCGAGTAAAAAACGAATGGGGATGAAAGACGGTATCAGTTGAATGTTCTACTAAAAACCTGGCTTATTTGAGATATTAGCAACTGTTTTTGACTAAAGAAAATTAATATAATAAATAAACTGCTCATTTGTTGAATGTTCAGGACTATTTAGATATTTAAAAAGGCGATGCATGTTTTCAGATATAGATGGCAGATGACATCAGGAGCATTTTTGTACTAAAAATGATTTATTTAAGTTGGTAGCAACCCTTTCCGACTACATACTAGGGTGAAGACGATAAATTAGCCATTTATTAAATTTTTTAATTTAATTACCAGGGGGTGTCCAAGCAGGATATTAGATGGAACATGCCAAAAGGATTGTGGGCGAAATCCTTGGCGCTTCTGGTTCTGGCCTGCAAATTGGGACCTTAGAGACCCTAACCGTTTGCTCCCTTTATTCTTCTTTTTTCCATCTTCAGGTAGTCATCTTGTAAGTTGGATGCACCGTACTAATGAAGGCCTTAAGAGAGAAACACGTGTCTGCCGGTTATCACTCTTTAGCGGGTTATGTCGTTTTTTATCTTTCCTATTTTTCTAATTTATATAGTCAATTACTCCTTCTATAAAAATAAGTGTTGAAATTAGAGGTGGGAATTCTAGTTCTTTGTAGGGAACTAGTTCTTTAGTTCTAGTTCCTTCAGACGAGTAGTTCCTTACAACCAAACCAAACCAAACTAGGTTCACAATAGTTCCCGACTAACATTGACATCCCCGTTGCTTGCTCATGGGTTTCTTTATAAGTCAGAACTATTCATAGTATGATCTGTATAATTTTTATAATGTACGATATATTACGAGACCTGTTATTGCGTATATTAAAAACATATAGTTAAGTTTTATTGCAGATAAGAACAGAAAATTAAAAAGAAACTCAAATCAGAGTTTAAAAAACTATATCACAAATCAATTGGAGCTTTCTCTGCCTTACATCGAGCTACATACGACATATTATTATATCCAATCTATGATTATATTTTGGTCAAGGTCTTAGTCCTAGGAATGGGTCCTGAGAAAATAGTCTTTCAAGAGAGGGAAAAAAAGGACTGCGGAACTTTTAAGTTCCGGGATCGGAATAGTTTAGGACTACTTCGTTCACGAACTACACACCTCTAGTTGAAATCACCTAAATTTAATAATGACAACAGTGAATATTAAAGTGTTTTTTATTACTTGACAACAGTGAATATAAAACTGAAAAAAAATTACTTAAAATATTTTTTTATTTTGATAAAAAATTACATCCGTTATTAGGGCCACTTTTATAAAGCTGATTTAAACCCCAAACCTAGGATTAAGTAACAGAATAGCAATAATACTAGTTTTATATACGCGGATTTTTGAGAATGTGTGGTTTAAGTAGGACTAGCCTAGGATTAAATCCATTGATCGATAGTTCGTTCCAATCTCCAATTTCGTTCAGTTTACGCATGTCACCTGTGACGTAATTTAAAAATTAAGATATAACCTCAAAAGTTATATCAAATCATTGAGCTTGACATTTAAAAAGTAATTTTCACATTTATTAGTGTCATCAGTAGTCATCAGTCTGACGATTTAAAATTGGCGCACGGAAATTGCCGACCAATGGTGCCGTTATCACCTGTAACCAACCTGCGCAATATCATACCTTATTTTCTTTGTATCGTTGATTAAATCTAATCGGTAGATAGAGGAAGGTTTAAACTAAGGAATCTGAGAGAGAGAGAGAGAACATGCGCAAATGCTAATATTTTTTTCTGATGGGCTCTGTGGATGGTTTTCTTTTCTCTTCTGTGCTGTGCGCCATCAGTGCCCGGTTGTGCCCAGCCCTGCGTTTTTTATAACATGTTTATAACTTTGAAGATACTTTATTAATCTTTGTTTACAATAATTAAATTATAATATGGATGTATTTGACGAATAAATAATAAATATTTGACGAATTATTAACTAGCGAGATAGAGTGTTTCACAGCGAGATAGGGTGTTTCGTGTTCGTCCTAATTATATGAATACGTTGAATGATTTCGACTTTGTCCAACGATTCAGAATTTCGAAACGATCTGTGCAAGGGTAGTGACGATTTACTTTAGGTGACTTTTTTCACGTTTATAGCGTGATTTGATTGCATTGGTTTCACTCTTTTTGGTTAGATTGGTTTAGTTATTTGGCGAGTTGGGTTATCGTGGTTATTTGGATAGTGTTAATTCATTGGTTAGTTGGTTATTTGGTGGGGTTGGTTGGTTTTTACTAATTTATATTTGTTTTTTAGATATTCATTGACTTTCTTTATTTGTTTGTAATAAATGTATATAGTAAATGTAAAATGTAGAGTTTGGGTTAAATAGGGCAATAAAACTACATAACAACAGCACACTAAACTGATACTGACGAAATTGCGCGTAAACTATTGCACGAAAAGCTATGAAAAAGCTCAAAAATATTTTTGAGGTTTTTTCTCGCTTATTTTACAAAAAATCGCATTTTCCTCACCTCAAGCTCTTTATATCTAAAAAGGCAGAATATATCCACTTTATTTTACAAAAAATTTGTTAAAAAGGCAGAATATCCACTTTATTTTATAGAAAATTTGTTAATTTTGACAGCCCTAAACTGAAACGGACCCATATTAACAGCTTATACCTGTAGCTTATACCATACATATTAAAATCAAACTCACATCAGTCTCTGAACCTGCTCTCAACTATGAAATCCAATGACTAAAGAATACAACAATGATGAATGATGAAATCAAACAAAAAATTACAAATCACAATTTATTATATTAATTTCTATAGTTTCATCAATTTCGTCATTATTTATTATGGCGATCATCT